GAATTTACAGTAAAAAGCATTCTTGTGTTTATTTTAAGATTTACTGGTATAACGTTACTACTGTTAAAAATATTTAAATGGCTGCCATATTAAATTTTAAATTTATAAATTGTAATATATTCTTGCAAAAACTAATTAAACTAGCATTAACATTTATTTACAATTTAAAATTTTAAGTAACATGGATATAAAAAAACAAAATGGTGGCTCTGTGCGTAACCATTGATTTACGGGTGCTTTAAATGTGATACTGTATTTATACATTCGTTATTAACCCAGAAATTATATTCTAAAAGGTTGGTAGAGAGTTACTTAACACCCTATAGTTCGACAGAATTGTTATAACAAAGTCACTACTAGATCATAAATGACCAGAAATATATTTTCATCAACATCATTAGGAGTACAGGTTAGATTACGTATTTTCTCGTCACACAATTGGTATTTGGAATGTGACGTTTGCAGTAAAGATTTGAATAAAACTTGTTCAATATCGTACAAAACTGTGATTTTATTATTTTGTATAAACAAATCTTTCAATAAGTCTTAATATACGACTCAACGAAATAAACTATGACCAATAGTTGTATCACCAGCGTTGCCTTAGTTTTTGTGTTAAGGATGTTCGCTTATGATGCTACCACGTAAAATCAAAACAATTGTTAGGTTGCAATTGAGGTCAATCACACTCTCGCAGTTACTTCCCTGCAAAGTGACCCGAGTGACCCTACGTAAGGAATATCTAAGAAATAGCAAATTAAATCCTTGTACGCTAATCACTTATATTTCCTTTACCTTTCCTAGTACTAAACACTGATTTCCTTCATTGCATTATTTGTTAACGGAAGTCCATTCAAATTCTTTAAGTCGAATTGTTATAATGTCAACCCTATCCTTCTGGGAACGTCAGACGTCCGGTGTCGCTGGGGGCAACAAACTCCATCTTCTATCTCGCTCTACCCCCACTCTAGTGCTTGCAACCCCTCAACTGCCAGGAAAGGCCATAAATCAGGCGATTAGCTTCAACAATACCCGGGTAGGATTATGGGACGACCTCCGTCTCCCCTCGATAATCGGGTTGCAAATTGCGTCATAGATGAGGAGAATGAGAGCTGTGTTGAAGTTTTGGAATAGACTAACTACGGAGTATGTCTCATCTATGATTTTGGTGAAGTAGGTAAATTAATGTCAATTCAGGCATTTAAAAAAATGTGTACAGGGTTTTTACTTTGATGTACACATCTAGCTAGGTCAAACAACGCATCTAAACCTCACTACATACAAAACATTCGGAAACACAATAGTGCCATCACATCTCATCACATTTGCATAATTTATTACCAAGTCTGGACTAGGTTATGGATTTGGTTCCGCAAATGTTCAAGATTTGTGGTCAAATTTCCTACAATTATGGTTAATTCCATCCACGAAATACATGCACAGCTTTATGTGATCGATATGGCCTTTGCAAAACTACCCCATAAGTTAATAAATTATTTTAGTAATATTGACTCTTTCCGTCAGATGACAGCTAGACCAATTATATGAACTCCTTTTCCCATATAGTGAAAGAGGCCTTAACATGAACAAAATTCATAACAAGAAACAATTGTAAGACTCCTGAAAAGCCTTTTGGGCAACCTAAAGCCGATGAAAGGACAGAAAATATTGAATTCATCAACCACGTTTTTTAAGGTACACTATATCGTCTTTTATATCGTCTTTATGTTTATCCTCCATAAGATTTTAATAACTTCACTCTATCCATCACAGTTAGCTGAATTTACCTAAAACCTCAAGAGTAGCCGTCGATTTCGACGGGATTCACCTAGTGTCAGATTATTTTAAAGCCTTCAAACAACAGAACACAATTTATATACACATGATAGTTGGGATAGCATTGCCAAATTTGAAGGAGACTGCAAGCGCGGTGAATAGAAGTCGTTCGGAGTTAAGAAAAAGAACGACTCTCCATTGCCCCAACCGAGCTGTTCAGCAAGAGCTGTTCACCTTCAATTTGAATCTCCCGCTCTTTGTCGATCTGTTTTGCTTGTCGACATTTTGCGTGTCGATAAAGTGGGAAAATTTACACAACCGTCCCACATAACAGACATCCCACATAACCGACATCCCACTTTACAGACATCCCATATTACCGACACTGTCGACATTTTGAGTTGTCGACAAAGTGGGACTATTTCAGTGTCGATCTTTTGGGATGTCGATAAACTGGGACCCCACGCATGTATTAGAGGTGGCTGTGCTGTAACTCGAGGCCGCGGCCTTCGAAGTAGCAACGTCGCAAGTTTCATACTAAATCTATATTGTTTTGTGTTTCTTTATGTTTTTTAAGCCCAATGGCCCAGACAGCACACTTTATCCCAGGGACATCCCATAGTAGTCCCATATGTCCTAAAAATGTCCTGAGGACTACCCTGGGATGACCTCGGATGTCCCACGGATATGCTGTGAGCTTATCCGTGGGACATCCCCGGGCGGGGACATTACGAATTCCTGCGGATATCCTGGGATATCTCAGGTTGACCATAGGACTACTATGGGATATCTTGTCCCAAGTAGCACACATCGTTGGCCCAACGTTGGGAAATGGTCGGCACGGTTGGCAAATGGTTGGCAGAAATTGTAACGATTTGCCAACGTTGGCCCAACGGAAACTGGTATCCGTTGGCCCTACAAAGGAAAGAATCGTTGGGCCTTCGTTGGGTTTAAGTATAAAACATTCCAAAACGAATGTTAACGAATTGATTTATTTAAAAGTACATAAATGTTATGGCAGCAGAATATAAGACAAATATTGTCTCTCCAACTACCAGAAAAACATTTCAACTAGGTACTTGAGGCCTAAACAGATTAACAGAATCATATTATACTGTAGCATCAAAAAATTTTAAGTATTGTGACTGTTGCACCTGTTGGCTACTCTTTCACCACTTGAAAGCACCCATAATCAACAGTACAGTACAGTTAGCTCAGAGGTAAGGCACGAGGCTCATAAGGCAAAAGTACCGGGTTCGAGACCCGTTCCGGCCAAATAATTTTATCTCGTTTTTTTCAAAATATGTTTTTATGAACTATTTAATCAATTTACTCAACTCATAATTATGCTTTTCATACAAAATCTTTATTATTTTGCGTTTTTTATGTTTAGGCCCAATGGGATGGTTGGCCCTTCCGCAAAAATTGGTTGGTTGGCCAACCGTAAGACTGAGTGCCAAAACGATCGTTACGAACTGAGTTGGTCAAAGATCGACAGAAACGTTGGGCCAACGATTTGCCAACGATTTTTGCTACTTAGGGTGTATCCTGTCGCAATATCCGTTGGATGTGTGGCAGGTTGCCGAATGAAACAAAGAAAATGCGCTACAAATAAATAATTTATTTAACTCAACTTATAACAAAATAATAATAATGTATGTAGCTTCCGACTTGCTGTATAAAATCTATTTATGTTTAGTTTACAAATACAACACAAATAAGTTATTGGGGAACATAGCCTCCCGAGGAGGCTATGGGGAAAGGCGACGCAACTTACACACGGCTGTCTGGGGTTGTTCAGCGCCTCAATGATGTCTTCATGGATTTGGCGTGGGGGACGGTTAGTACACAAGGGTCCGCGCGCCCAGACTAGCTGCGACAACTGTACATGACCGACCGAGCCGAATTCAGAATTTTGACAACTAGACTGAGTGCTCCCTGTCCATCACCCAGAGTTGGGCGTGAAGGGGACCAGCCAATCACGTTGCGGCTACGCCGGGTGACGTCAGTGCAAGCACCACCGGACGGTGCTGCCGCGTAACGATCATTCAGGGCGTTAGGCAAACTGTAGCTGATGCGCATTAACTGATCTCATCGAGCGACTTGCTGGGCTGTATCAGCAAATTCCAGCCATGCGCGTTACACTTTCCGATAACGTTGGCCCGGCCTAGCGCTGAGCCACGCTGACGGAATATTCCATGGTGAGGCAACTGGCTGACACAAAAAGCTGGGAGGTTAACAGTCCAATATTACAGACCCTCTTTTTATATTTGAAATAATGCAAAGCTTTTGTGACGGTGCTGACAGGGTTTCCTGAGGGTGTAACAAAAACCTCTAATATGTAATGGGTCTGGGAATTTTTGGGGCCGTCACAGATGTCCTGAGGAGAAAGTGTGCTGTCTGGGATTAAGGTATTACAGATGCATTAATCTAACTACCACCAATGGTTCCCACCAAATTCCAAAAATAGAGAACCAAAATAAAACGGCTGAATTTTTAAGGGTGAAGCTGAATAATGGCCATGGATGGGGCAAGCACATTCGGATTAGAAGGGTCGTTTGCTCGGGAACTCTTCGTCCTAGGATGAGGTCATAGGCAGCGACGCTATGTACAGGCTCGTCTACTACGAGCTGTTCAAGCAGTACATCTCATGATCAATAATTTTGTGAGGCTCATCCACCAAGAAGAATTTGGACAAAAATTGTACTAAAATTGTAAAACCCACCTATCCTGGCTTAACACTTTTTCAGGCACTGCCAAAACAACTCCAAAACATCCAAAATATCTCAAAATCCAAAACAGAAATAAAATATTTCCTTCCAAAAATGGCTTATGTGATTATGAAAATGGAAGACTTTCTAAATTTTACAAAACAGAGCCCTTTGGCCATGAATGTAGGCCTATAGTTATAAGTTATTTTTTTGTTTTACCTTTTGACCTGTCCAATTCCTACTGGACTAGGAACGGAAACTACAAGTAAGTAAGTTAGTCAGTTAAATCATCTTTTTTATCATTCATTATAAAAAAAAAACAATGGTTGTGTATTTATGTTCAGTAACTAACAAATTGTAAACTAATAAACAACCTTTATGCAGGCTGAGTTGGAAATATTGGAAACAACATCGCAGCTGCATGTTCTACCGACCAAAAGCCTGCAAAGCAAATTAGAGAAAAAAATCCCAAAAAGAAGAAGAGCGTTAATAAATGTCATTACATATGGTTGCCAAACCAAACACTTGTTTAGCTCATATGGCTCATGTTCATTTTCTAGAACTAGTATAATTAATTATCACATTTCTTTAAAAAATACATAGTTACAATCGTTTTATATAAAACATTTGATTCTTGCTCTGTCAGTCTATACATCCTAGTGTTTGATTAAGCTATTTGATAGGTATCCACATATCTCGCCACCATGGTTGACTACAGCAAATGGAAAGACATAGAGGTAGGCCTTTTGTTGATAATACTTTTTCCTTTTATCCAGGACATTAAACCGTACTGATAACATTTTACTATAAATTGGTGCAACATGCATTCATGCTGCCAGAATGTTGCAATAGGGCCACTAAACTTGGGCCTTGTTTCAAATCTCTTAAGTTAATGTTGGGCAAACAAACAGGTTGTGGGTTCGCTACTCGCTACAACGAACACAGGCCCAAACCACGTGTAATCAAACAAAATTCAGCGTTTGCCCAGCATTTAATCAACCTAAACCATAACATGAGTGAGATTTCTGACGGTTTTGAGGTAGGCTAGCCTGTACTACATAAATGCAGAAAAGGTAGTAAGCTACCTAATAACACGTAATACACGTTAGAGGAATTTGAAATTTACAAATTATACCACGACAACACCGCCAGTGGACATATCCTCATCGAAAAACTGCAGTTCCAGTCAATGTGCTATTTTCAATGTGCTAATTCACCAAAATAATCGGCCACCTGACCTTTGAGGACAAAGGTATCAGTAGGAACTGATAAACATGGAAATCAACGAGGAATGAGTCTGACACTGCAGCCTACTACCTGCGCCAGGACCGTCCTTGTCGTGTGCGTCTGATAGGCCTATCTGTCAATTAAATGTTTACTTTCTGTAATTAAATGTTCGTAGGTATTCTTGTGTATTTATTGTGTGCGTGTGACATCGATGTCTTCATTTTTGTAACCCTGACGATGCCGTATTCACGGCAAAATATGTAGGTTGTTTTTTTAACCTCAATCAACATTTGGATTACTTGACGAGGTATTGTACCATTATTATAGTAAAATCTCTTAAGTAGGCCTAGACCTAGGCCTACCCTAGTCATCATCAGACTGTTTAAGCCCCATGTTTCCTGAGTTCTCCCATAATTCTTTTTAGCTTAAGGTATAAGCTAAATTATATCAGCTAATCCGTTGTCGGCTGTTGTTTCAATGTTAGTGGATAATTTAAACGTTATTGAGTGCACAGGTGTGCTGCGATTGGGGTTTAATATATTTGGACTTAACAAAAGTAAAATAGTTTTCTGTGCTGCACTCTGTGGAAACAGTGTGACACTATTTCAATCAAATCATGACTAACGCAGAATGTTGTGATTATTCAAACCTACAAAACAGTTGGTGAAAGTAAACATATGCTTTTAAATTACATTTAAACTCATTTGTAAACATTGTAAGTTAGCTCCAAAACCTTCCCTCTGAGGCAGAGACCTTTTGACGGATCTGCACCAAACTTCACACAAACCATCCTTGAATAATGCTTAATATATGCCTGAGAGTTTCATTATTACAATCTGTCTAGAGCGGTTTTGGAGTCCATAGGGTAGGCTATAAACATATAGGCCTACTTCCTCTTTTATAGCCTAGATATAGATTTAAGGAAACGTGAGCTACGTAAACATTTACTGACTTGGTTGAAATATTTTGGGCCTAAGTCTTACTATTTATTACAATGGAAAAAAGCGAGAAAACCTGGACATTTTAATATACGTAACCTACCGATATTTTACTAAAAAGAAAAGAGAACTAACACTGTGCTGCATTTCTTGAGTAATCATTGAAAGGGCAGATTTGCAAACTATAGAAACATAGGAAAGTCTTAGAACACCACCAAGTAGAAGAAATATACCGTAAATAATGTTTTTTTATTTATTTATACATTTAATCATTATATTATATTATAGACAACCTAATGCGGCTATGAATGGGAAACATTTTTTGAAAACACTAAAAAACAAGATCAGCTTTTAAAAAATGATACGATAGCCTATTAAAAAAAAATATTGATTATATCAAACTGTTATGTACATTGTGAGTACTTGAACCATAATCTTTGAGTAGGCCTAGACTCTTTTAAAGTCATCAGAAATTATAACTGTTATTCGTTTCAAAATGACGCCTGTAGGCCTAATACTTCTCAATTGCTCAAATTCGAGCAACAGGTAGGCCTACACTAGTGATAGGCCTTTTAAATAGGAAATCAATCTGACAATTTTAAGGGAAAAATTTTGTGGAATTCCAGCCAGGGTTTGGTAATTGAAGCCAATGATTATTCAAAGACAAGTTAAATGAGGGCTCAGAGACCTACCTAGGTTTTTTAATGACCTGGATTAGTTGCTTTTCTAATTGGCCTAGTATAATTTTTACTTTGTTTTTTTTTTTTTATATTTAGATATCAGATGATGAAGATGAAACCCACCCTAACATTGACACGCCGTCACTGTTTCGATGGAGACATCAGGCTCGTATAGAGCGAATGGAGGAGGCACAGAAAGAGAAGGAAGAATTTGAAGCTCGGAAGAAAGAGTAAGTTGCATGAATAATTTTTAAGTTAGAAATACAATTCGGCTACTGTCTCAGAATAAAAAAAGTTAAATAGGCTAAATAGTTGAAAACGTAAACAGACCAAATAACGAACATATGCAAAATACCGAGTACGCTGATAACTTATTTTTCTCAAATAATAAGTGTCTGCAACCTTCTATTTTACTCGTAGTAGGCTCATAGTTGGGAAAGTTAGAAAAAAATTCTAACTAGAAGTTATTAGTTATTCCCGTAAGAAGGAACTCATAGAAAGAAGTTATTATTTAGTTAGTTTAAAAAGTACCTAACTGATAAAAGGTTGATATAAGTTAGTTAAAAACTAATGGAAAATAAAGTTAGTCTTCGGAGAAGTTTACTGTTTATTGGGAAGCTGTTTTCAAGGATTACGTATTAAGTTAAATAATGACACATCTTAGTAACTAACTTGTAGACTACAGTAGAGTCCCGCAAACTCGGCACTCAATAACCCGGCAGTCTGGATAACTCGGCCATCACCTGGCTCAGAAAATAAGTGATTTTTTTAGTCAGAGTTAAACATGGACTGAAGCCAGCTCAAGTCAAATCATTCGCAACTCATACCAAAGATTTGTTGTACTACATCTGATGACTCAATACTGACTTGTAATAAAAATATAAATAAAAAAGGCGATTAAAAAGCTTAAAAATTGTATTGTTCTTATTTTTAACCCTAGTTTCTGATAACCCGGCATTTCACAAACTCGGCAACCTTCCAGTCCACATTACGCCGAGTTTGCGGGACTCTACTGTAATTGTGTTTATTAATTCATGATGTCTAGTTGTTGGGAAAGACGGAAAGTCGGGATTTAGTAGGTATTTATCTTGATAAAGTCAGGAACTTTTATGATTTTGCCGCGATTGCGTTACACGACGATCATGTTTCCGTGACCTCGGGAGACGATGATGAGGTCTACACGGCCGTGGAAGATGTTCATGATTTTAAAAGCCGTGATCGGGGTTTGTGACTGCGGGAAAAACTATCATGATTTTTCCGCGATCACGCAAGACGATGATGTCTACACGGCCACGGTAGAAGTTCTAGATTTTGCCTCGACCGGGAAAGACGACGATCACAATTCTGTGTCCGAAAAAGACAATCTGATGATGATCTCTACACAGCAGCGGAAGATATACACGATTTTGCCGCCAACGCAGACGACGACGATGACGTTTCCGTTACCACGAGAGTCAATGATGATGTCTACACGGCCGCAGGAAATGTAAAAAATTTTTTCCGCGATTTCATACGACGACGGTGACGTTTCCGTGACCGCGGGAGACAACAATGATGTCTACACGGCCGTGAGAAATGTTTATGATTTTGCTGCGATCGTGGATGACAACGATGACATTTCTGTGACTCCCCCAGTCGATGATGATGTCTACACGGTCCCGGAAGATTTTCAAGATCCAAAAATACCCTAATTGGCTAGTTAGAATTTTTCATTGCTGCATTTTTACTTGACTTGAAAAACGTCCCATTATCACTTAATGACATAAAGACAGGAGTTGGTGTACTATAACCAAATTATTTTGAAAATTTGGTCTCACACTATAAAAGTTGTTATCGGTATCACGAATCGAGAATCGATACAATATGATATCAACACATCACTAATTGTTAAAAAACTAGTCTTAAAAAATCTGGAATTAGTCTTGAATTTTAAAATGGAAATAAACTAGACACCCTGTTAATTGTCACATTAGGCCTACCTTAATCTTATACGGTAGGCCTATATTAAAAAAAATTTGGAAAACTTATGACAGCTAGTCTGACCATACTACTGGACCAATATTCAGGTTTTATTTGTAGCCTATTTTGAAAATATTTTATGTTAATAGGGTCAAACGTGGAAATTAAGCTTTTCTTATGGATATGTAACTTGGGACTAATTCTATATTAATATTAATAAACAAATATGTTTATTGAGAACTTTTTTTCCCAGCTCCTTTGCATCACAGGGGAAATCTAAGCATACTGTTAGAATGGTATTTGCCTGTAGATGTGCAGAATCCCTTATAAATTAAAATAAGCTCAAAAATAAACACAAAAAATGAATTTAAAATAAAAAAATTACAAGGGCGTTATGGGCTGCCATCTTGGTGTCAAAATAACAACAAAATATTTTTGTTGAGAAGTTTGCACAATACCCTACATACTTTTGGTGAGTTTTCGACTTCAGGGCAGATAGATATCATCGTTGTCTCCCGGGGTCACGGAAACGTCATCATCGTCGTCTGAGATCGTGGAAAAAATTGTTTACATTTCCTGCGGCCGTGTAGACATCATTGACTCTCGTGGTAACGGAAACGTCATCGTCGTCGTCTGCGATCGCGGCAAAATCGTGGACATCTTCCGCTGCCGTGTAGAGATCATCATCAGATTGTCTTTTTCGGACACAGAATCGTGATCGTTGTCTACCCCAATCGAGGCAAAATCAAGAACTTTAGGGCAATAATTACAATTGATCTTATATACTCCAGTCTTACGAGCTTTATAAAGACTGTTCCTTTTGCAATCTTTAAATATGGAGTGAAGTCTATTGTTGGCCCTGAATCAACACAAACGTCACTTTTGGCTATTTAGCGAATTTCCCATATAGGGAATATAGGGAATAAGCTATTACCGTAGTACTCATGGTAAGACCTGGACCCGGGACCGATTTTTTTTTTCGTTTTGAGGTCCCTAGAGGCCAAAAATAGCATCCGTTCAAATTCATATATATATATATTTATATATATATATTTATATATATATGTGTCCGTTAGCGCGATAATTCGAGCAAAAATAATCCAATTTTGATGAAAATTGGTACAAACGTGTAAACCTACGTTTATTCGAACGAGTTCGTGAACCAGCATGATCGGACCATGGGAACAGGGGTTTATGGGGGCTTTTATGGGGTAAAAATGGGTTTTTCCCATTTTTGACCCAAAAAACTTAAATTTTTGCAATTTCTTTCCAAACTATTAAAAAGTAGAGCTTAAAAAAACAAATAATTTAGTATATTGAAGCGTTATAATGCGCCTAATGGTTGCGGAGAAAATTCAAAAAAATTTTAAATTTAAAATTCCCATGTTGTTCTTATGGAGGATAAGTAAACTGTTGTAGTTTGCTTATTTATTAACATATTTTGCCCAAACTTAGAAAATGTTTTTATTTCTTACTAACTATTAACATTTTACATAAAAAAACACTTTAACGCTCCCTGTTGCAGCAAACCTAAGTATGTGTTAAACTGATTTGATTTAAATAGGGAATAAATGTGATATTTTTAAGGAGACATTTTAGTGTTAATCCAATCAGGCAAATGGAAATTCGCTTAGTCTGCAGGTTTGCTGCGGTGGGGGTATCTTTTTTTTCTTTATGGTGTTGTTAAAAACAAGCGTGACAAACTCTAAAAGTTATATATTTTTCTTATATCCACTCAAGTATATCTTTTGGGATTTCACTTTATGGTGCAACTAGTGATTACAATTTAAATTCTATTCTAAAAAAGCAAATGAAAGCTATTAGAATCATCTGCAATTTAGATTTTGAAACTTCTGTTAATAAAGAACATTTTAAATCAGAAAATATAATGACAATTTACGGAATGTACGTTTTTGAAACATTGTATCAGTAAAGGACAGACTTCATGATTTTGAACGAGTTGGGGATAGTCATAATTATTTCACCAGAAATTGGAAAACCCTTGCAATTGGCCACCATAGTCTAAAACTTTTTGAGAAAAAAACCCATAGGCCTATATGCGGGATCAAAATTTTATAATAATCTCCCAATCGAAATTAAATCAGAGAATTCCAAAACAATATTTAAAAATAAATTAAAAAGATTTCTCATCAGCAAGGCTATTTTTTCTTTTGAAGAGTTGAATAGTCTTTGAGGTCAAAAACTAATTCAGGATATGTATTTTTTGTTTACAATTTATTTAAAAAAATGTAAGTTTGTGAATTTTTTTTTATTTTCTTGTGTTAGAAATGTATTTAATAAATATTAGGCATACTTGCAGCTGAACTGTTGACACTATTCAATGTATTTTGTACAAGAGATGAATAAAGTAGTTTTGAATTGAATTGAATTGAATTGAATTGAACACCATAAAGGTTTATTAGGTGGTTGGGGTCTGGTGAGTGGTTTGTGTTTATGTTTATAGATTAATTTATCAACCATACTGCTTTGGTATCCATTAGCCACAGCTGTGTGTTTGATGATGAGGACTTCTTGTTGATAATCAGTTGGGCTTAGAGGCAGAGACAATAACCTGTGCACAAAACTATTGTAGGCAGCCATTTTTTGGTTGTGAGGGTGGTGAGAAATAAAATGAATGGTCTGGTTGGTGGCGGTAGGTTTTCTGTAAATGGCCCACTGTCTCTGCCTCTAAGCCCAACTGATTAACAACAAAAACTCCTCATCATCAAACACACAGCTTTTGCTAATGGATACAAAAGCAGTATGGTTCTAGTTGTTAATCAGTTGGGCTTAGAGGCTGAGACAGTTTGTCATTTACAGAAAACCTACCGCCAACGACCAGACCATTCATTTTACTTCTCACCACCCTCACAACCAAAAAATGGCTGCCTACAATAGTTTTGATCTCAGGTTGTTGTCTCTGCCTCTAAGCCCAACTGATTATCAACAAGAAGTCCTCATCATCAAACACACAGCTGTGGCTAATGGATACAAAAGCAGTATGGTTGATAAATTAATCCATAAACATAAACACAAACCACTCACCAGACCCCAACCACCTGATAAACCTCATAAATTGTATGCCTCTGCTAATTATGACAAAGTTCTTAACAACACCATAAAGAAAGAACTAGCCAAAAGTGACGTTTGTGTATCATTCAAGGCCAACAATAGACTTAACTGCTTAACTCCATATTTAAAGAGCGCAAAAGGAACAGTCTTGATAAAGCCAGTAAGATTGGAGTATATAAGATCAATTGTAATGATTGCCCTAAATATTATATCGGCCAGACTACTCGCTCATTTAAGCAACGATTTAAAGAGCACCTTCCATCCAAAACAACAGCCAAGCAAAAATCCGCTTTCGCCAACCACCTCGCAGACAGTAACCATAATTATTCCAGCCTTGACAATAACCTACACATTTTACATATTTACCCTAAAAAAGGACGGTTTTTAGATTGTTTAGAGGAATTCGAGATATACAAATCCATTAAGAATGAGCCACAACACATTTTAAATGAACAGACCTCTTTCAAGTCCAACATTATCTATGACGCAGCGATTAGAATAGGGCAACAATTCCACCGGCATTCCATAGCAAGAAGGACACCTCAGTCATGACCACGCAACTACCTGTGCCGCGTCGTAGTGTCCTGTACTGGCCAGTAGCAATGTTAATCCGTGTTTTCGCGTTTTGTGTTGTATGTGTGTGTTTTGTTTTTACCGACAACCTCAATTTGAGGGACATGACATTTTTAAACTGCCTGATGATGGGATTTTAATCCTGAAACCGGTCGCCTAAGACGACAACAATAGGATCACTGACGGACAGGTAATATAAACCATTTTACGCCTAGAGATCCCCTTCACATTCCTTTAGTGTATAACCATGATATCACTCTGTTTTTGTGTATATTAGAATCTGTCAAAAACATACCAGAGGTCAACACACCAACACACCCCATCTCCCCTTACATCACTCACATTCCAGTGAATGTCTACCCAATCATAATAACCAAGACTCCAATCTGGCCTTGTTATTTTTTTTTTCATCTTATGAAAGGTATTTAAGAATTGATTAAGAAATAAATGAGCTTTATCATGATTTTCCTGTGTACAGGCGGGATTCCCGTTTGGTATTGGGTGGCAATAATCCGGTATCAGGAACATTTGTAATTTTTGAATGGGTTGGAAAAATAACTGTTACTACACAATTAATTACAAATGTTTTAGTTTTTTTTTTTTTTGCTGTAACCGCTGAAAATATAAGCTATCCACTGAGCCACTGACTCACTAGAACCTTTCGTTATGATTAACCTTGGTATGCATGGTTTCAATAAACAAACTGGAAATTTGGAAGTGGCCTATGCAGGATTGATGCAACAAGAGCATTTTTTTGCAGCTTTGCAAAGAAAGTTGAGGAAGTCAAACAAAAATTGACCCAATCGTCCAACGCTGCCACTACAGTGAAGGAAGTTAAATCTGCTCTAGACAATCTAGAAATTACAGCTGGGGACTTGAAGAGGTCAGTAGGTTTTATCTGACGACTAAACGATTCCTGATGATCCCTCTTTAGTTCTGCTCTCCTTCACCCATTTTATTCCTTGTCCTTCTCCAAATATGTTCTTCACTATTTTTTATCCTCTTCTCACCTTATCACTTTTCACATGATCAATGTTTATGTATTTATTGTGAGACTTCTTTGGCGATAAATGTAGCATTTCTTCTATGTAGGTTACTGAGATTGTGGGTCAAATAATATAGGCCTCTTGTAATTTGTACTCTGGCACTAATGTTCACATACATGCAGGTGTATTTTTTTGTTCATTCCTTTGATGTAAGCCTTCCTTTTGAGATGCCTTATTATAAGTGTTATTTTCAATTTGCAGTTGCGTAAATCCACTGAGATTATTATTTCAGGTGCAAATATAACAAATTGTCCTTCAGTTTTAATCAATGTCTCTATACTTACTGTAAGTGCTAATCAATGTCTCTATACTTACTGTAAGTGTAAGAGACTTGGGCACTGATATGATTAAAAAAGTATGATTCTAATGAAATCATTACAATTTGATAAATTGGCTTACCCCTCAAGCTTCTATTTTGATGAAGAACAAATGTGGTTTATTTTCTTCTAGTCATACTAAGAGACTTCATGAAGCAAAAGAACGGTTAGAAGCAGCAGTCAAAGCTGAATCGCCTGAAGTGAAACAGTTGCAAGAAACGTTTGACAAACTGGAACGGGAAATGGAGGAGTTGAAGAAAGTAGAAGATCAACTGAAACAGAAGGAAAAGGTAAACTGCAATTACCAACAGAAATGTTGTGTTTCTCCTTTCCCTAAACACACTTAGCCTACCTCAAATAGTTCATTGGATCCACTCGGTCCATTCTATTGCTTTTTGACACTGGTCTCAGGATTTTGATGTAAAAATGACTTAATGAATGAAATTTACTAATTAAGACAAATAATTGGTTAGTTAGTGGTTTAGTTGGAAGCGTGGACAAAGGTAAAACTAAAGGAGTGATATAGAGGGATTTTCCCCTAGCCTTGCTTGATATGTTCCATGCATAGGCCTATGGCTCGTGTAAACAATCAAATTCAAACAGTAGAGAAAGATATTTTGTATTTCAAATTCAATAAACCATACTTACTAAAAAAGCCTACCTTATGAAATACAAATTTTACCATTTAAATTACAGATAAGCCTACCACATCCCTAACAAAATAATAAAGAGTCAGTGAGGTTGAGTATTGAGGTTATATGTTTCAGGTTACACCTTGGAATGTTGATACAATCAGCAAACCTGGCTTTACCAAGACTGTTGTCAACAACCCTCCACCAAAGGTCAAAGAGAATTTGACAGAAGAGGAAAAGGAGCAGAGAATGAGGAAGTTTATCAAAGAAAATGAGAAACTTTTGAAACAGTATGGGATGTTGCGAAAGTACGATGACAGCCGACGCTTCCTACAGGAAAATCCACAGTTGATGTGTGAAGACACAGCAAACTATCTGGTCATCTGGTGTATAAATCTGGAGATGGAAGAGGTAAGCAGAAACATTAAATGTACTTTAATGTACTCAAAATTGATCAATACAGTCCCTATATTGTTTGGTAAAAGGCTAGCTTTAAGTGTCAGATTTAAGGTATAAGAGAAAGAAAAGTAAAAAAAAGATTGTTTTGTTTGTATCAAATAATTAAACAACCATGCAGTTTAGCGTAATTTACATTGTACAATAGAACCCCTAATATCCGGCCTCAGAACATCCAGTCATTTCGAAACCGAAGTGACTGTTGGGTAATTTTTGGAATCGATACCAAAAATATTTCCTACGGCTGTACATGTAATCTCCATGATTTGAGCGTTCTCAAGGTTTATCTTTTTCCTGTTCATAAACATTTTAAGGGGGTTCACAACTCAGTTGAGCTAGTAGATTTAAAAAAGAGACTTAAACACTACTTTTAACCAATCACAAGTTATTGTTAGATACAAAATATTGTTTTAATAATACAGTAACTTGGTTTATCGGACCAGGGACTCGGTTCCACGTAAGCTGGATATGAGGTGTTTTTCTGTACCCAAATTATCTACTCAACCAATTTAAAAGAAATATGGTCCTCTTTGTATATTCCAATGAGCTTGGCTCTCTTCAGTTATGTTCCATCTAGAGCTCTCAGATATTCTACTTTGTGTTTCCATTTCCTTTTAGGCCTGCCTTTCCTCCTTATCAAATCAATATTTTGCCTGAGCAACTAGTTTGGTTGCTTCTTTAGAACCAATTCCTCAACAAGCTGATTAGTTTTGTCTTAATGAAACGTACAATATCTTCTTCAGCGAAGCATGAATTTCTGTGACAATTCAAGTTAACATGAATCTCTGCTTCTGTTACATATTAGTTATCAAATTGAGATGGGGACGCGACCTAGATGCATATTTTAACCCAATTATGAGTGAAGGATGAGTTTAGAATGGAGTTAGATGATCTGTAGAGCTTTGTTACTGACTTATCAGCTATTTCATCATCCAGGATGATTTATTTAAAGCTCATACCCTCAAAAAGCTACTGACTTTTCTCAGGATTGAACCGGCGACGTTTTGGTTAGTGAGCACTAACCACTCAGATACCCAGCCAGTTGTCACAGGTCCTCATTTTTTTATACGTAGCTTTATTTGGTCCTGCGAGGCAGCATTTATTCGACTGTTGTGTGCTTTGCCTTTACCTAAAAGTTTTGATGATTTACAGAAACACGAGCTGATGTGTCATGTTGCCCACCAGTGTATATGCATGCAGTATATATTGGAACTCTCCAATCAAATGGACATTGACCCTAGAGCATGTGTCGGCTCTTTTTTCACAAAGTAAGTTGGCCTAATCTTGTTCAAATTTTGTTTTTCATTTTTAATTTATTATTCATTAGTTCAAGCAACATGGTAACTGTTTGTTTGAAGCTCATTGTTGGTGATGGTGAGTTAATGGTGTTCAAAGGTTTATTGCGGACATTTTCCATCACGATGGTAAAGAACAATACACATCGTTTCGGGATCTGGAATCTGATCCCCTCCTCAGGTGAAAAAACTTAACTATCACATTACAACTAGCAATACACAAACACCCAATCTAAGTTGGAATACACTACAGAGAGAAGCAGTCCAAAAATATGCACTGTATAGCTGACAAGTCATGTTACAATAACATGCAAATAATAACCAATCACAAAACACTATAGTCTATAAAAGGTGTAGTGTGAACAGCCCACACAATGGAACACTAATCACACAGTTCACAATGACTCCACCAATGAGACTCTCTGTGTAGTTTATTACAACTTAGATTTGGCGTTTGTGTATTATTAGTTGTAATGTGTTAGCTAAGTTTTTTCACCTGAGGACGGGATGAGATTCCAGATCCCGAAACGTTGTGTATTGTTTTTTACCATTGTGATGGAAAATTTCCGCAATAAACCTTTGAACAACATGGTAACTGTATTGAAGGGTTATTTGTGATTCTGTGTCCTCATAAAACAATTTTTAGACAAACTGCAACCTGTCAAACAATCTAAGTAGTATTTTAATCCAAACCAACCCTAATTTACAAATAATACCGTCGCCGCAATAAACCTTCAGACTTAGCGAATTTCCATTTTGCCTGATTGGAATAGGTTTGATAAGTAATTTAATTTACTTTTGCTGCTGCAGGGAAGGTAATAACGTGTGTTTTTGTAGTGAATTGTTAAAAATAACTTGTATGAAATAATAAATTTTCCAAATTTGACCTAAATATATCTATAAATAAACACATCAGTTTACTTATGCTCCACAAGAAAACCATGAGTATTTTGAATTTCGGTCCATGTCTTACCACAAGACCTACAGTAACAGCTTATTCTCCACTTATGAATTTGCTGATATTCCCAAAATGGGAAATTTGCCAAAAGGGGCCAATAAATGTAGGTCTCCAACAAGCACTGTCAAGTGAGCTATTAAAATCTGATACTAGCTCTTTATTACATAGGCCTACTTCATACACTACTATTATAGGCCTAAGTAGTAGTTTTAGTTAATTCTGTTCAGCAAACAAATTTACTCTACTCGCTAATTAGATGGAAATAGATTAACACCCACTGTCGGCCTCGTGCTAATGTGAACCTTCTGTGAACCCCCAAAACAACTTGCGCACATTTTTAGGTCCGATCCTCTTTTTTTTATACAAATCTGTCAACTGACAACGGACTTCGTAACACTTTCCAGATAAACCTAATCATTAAAGCAATTCATACTTGGTCGGAGCGACAATTTTCCCCTATATCATTATCTGTTTTTATGATATGACAAATCATCAGGTAGGAATAGTAACCACCTGATTTAGTAGATGAAGGAATGAACTCGGTTTTTGAGTTTTATATTAACTATCTCGCTTGGCTGTTATGGAGTCTTGTGGGAGAACCTAATATTAGTGATGGTCGGATCCGGATATCGGACTACCGGATCCGCCGGATCCGAGCTAGAACCGGCACCGGATCGGATCCAAAAAATTCCGGATCTTGGGCTGGATCCGGTTTTGATGGATCCGATTTTTTCAAATTTTTTCCCGATTTTTTCCTAGCACAAAGCTGTCTGTATCACTGTACAACACCGATTTTTTTTACTAACACAAAGCTGTCTGTATCACTCTACAACCCCGAGTATTTTTACTAGCACAAAGCTGTCTGTATCACTGTACAACCCCGATTTTTTACTAACACAAAAAGCTGTCTGTATCACTGTACAACCCCGATTTTTTACTAACACAAAAAGCTGGCTGTATCACTGTACAACCCCGCTTTTTTACCAACACAAAGCTGTCTGTATCAGTGTACAACACCGATTTTTTTTTTAACTAACACAAAGCTGTCTGTATCACTGTACAACCCCGATTTTTTACTAAGACAAAAAGCTGTCTATATCACTGTGCAACCCCGAGTTTTTACCAACACAAAGCTGTCTGTATCACTGTACAACACCGATTTGATTACTAACACAAAGCTGTCTGTATCACTGTACAACCCCGATTTTTTACTAACACAAAAAGCTGTCTGTAGCACTCTACAACCCCGAATGTTTTTACTAGCACAAAGCTGTCTGTATCACTGTACAACCCCGATTTGTTTACTAAATACAAAGCTGTCTGTATCACTGTACAACACCGATTTTTTTACTAACACAAAGCTGTCTGTATCATTGTACAACCCCGATTTTTTACTAACACAAAAAGCTGGCTGTATCACTGTACAACCCCGATTTGTTTACTAAATACAAAGCTGTCTGTATCACTGTACAACACCGATTTTTTTACTAACACAAAGCTGTCTGTATCATTGTACAACCCCGATTTTTTACTAACACAAAAAGCTGGCTGTATCACTGTACAACACCGATTTGATTATTAAACACACAGCTGTCTGTATCACTCTACAACCCCGAATATTTTTACTAGCACAAAGCTGTCTGTATCACTCTACTACCCCGATTTGTTTACTAAACACAAAGCTGTCTGTATCACTGTACAACACCGATTTGTTTACTAGCACAAAGCTGTCTGTATCACTCTACAACCCCGATTTTTTACCAACACAAATCTGTCTGTATCACTATACAACCCCGATTTTTTCTAGATTTTATTACTAACACAAAGCTGTCTCGTCTGTATCCATGTACAAGACCGTTTTTCTCCCGAGTGTTTGTCTCTTGATGCAAACAACTTATATGGCAAGGCCATGTCTCAGCGTTTGTCTCTTGATGCAAATAACTTATATGGCAAGGCCATGTCTCAGTGTTTGTCTTTTGATGCAAATAACTTATATGGCAAGGCCATGGCTCAGTGTTTGTCTTTTGATGCAAATAACTTATATGGCAAGGCCATGACTCAGTATTTGTCTCTTGATGCAAATAACTTGTATGGCAAGGTTATGACTCGGTGTTTGTCTTTTGATGCAAATAACTTATATGGCAAGGCCATGTCTCAGTGTTTGTCTCTTAATTCAAATAACTTATATGGCAAGGTCATGTTTCAGTGTTTGTCTCTTGATACAAATAAATAACATAAATGGCAATGGCATGTATCTTTCCGAACTGAATCCGACCCGATTTTTCGGATATCTTCACACCTCTAGTTTTTAGTTTTGTACCTGGATGATAAGCTAACGGCCTATAATTTTGTCTCAAAAATATCCCATTAGTATTTTAATCCCACCCGAAGCTACGTGATAAAAAATAATAAAAGTATGATTTGAATTGACATTCTGTTAATTACGTTTTTTTTTAACCCGCCCTTATGACAGTGTGTATCTGGATCCGGATCCGAAGATCCGGATCCGAATTTTTCAAGATCCGGATCCGGATCTGGTACCGACATTTTCTTGGATCCGCCCATCACTACCTAATATACTACCAACTCTCGTACTCCTTTTGTTGAGACTGAGCTAGAATAAGAATAGAAACCAGAACTATTTGTTTCCCAGGATCCAAGTCGCTGACCCTGAGTACAAAAAGGCGTTTGAGGATGAGCTGTCTGGGTTCAAGGACAGAGTGATGAGGAGAGCCAAGGAGAAGATGGACGCTCTGTTGAAGGAGGTGGAAGAGGAGGAGAGACAACAGAGGCTGGGACCTGGAGGACTGGACCCTCTGGAAGTTCTGGAGACACTACCTGCGGTCAGTGTAACCTTTTACCTTTGTAGACATCTCATCTATATGGAACAGCTATCGCCAATTTTTTATTAAAAAAGAATGTAGCTATCTGAGCCAGTCACAGAATGCGCTAGGGTCTAAAATTCTATTTTCTACCTTATTTTTTGTTGCTGACCATGTTGATGGGTCATCATAACCGTTGCTAAAGCTCACTAAGTAAGTCATTCCATTAGTTTGACTTTGTTAATAAGTCTGTGTATTCGACAGAAATTAGTGATTTAGATCAGCGCAATCTTTCGGTGGCTCACATCAACTACGACGATTTTCATTAAAAAACTGGCGACAACTTTAATTTGGAAATGGAATGTATAGTTGTACTAGCTGTACCCGCGGGCTTTGCCCCGTTTAACTTTATAAGTGAGCTTGTTCGCATGGCTCAATCACGTCCTGGTTGAAGTTTGTTCGCTACGCTCACTCACTTTTAGGTTGGAGCTCGTTCGCTATGCTCACTCACCTTTTGGTTGCAAATTAGCTGTTGTCATAAATGTAAAAGAAAGGTCATGAATGTAAAGGGTGCTGCACCCTGTTGGTAATCCTTGTAACTTTAATGCTATTGGGGAGCGAGCTGGCGTAGTGGTTAGAGCGCGGGACTTCAGCCCCTGAGGTCCCGGGTTCGATCCCCGTCAAGTCACCAATGGATTTTATCTAAGTGATAATGCCGCAACCCCTAGGTCTAGCCTGAAGTAATGTGAAAAACAATACCTGGCTCGTGCCTAGCGTCCTTAGAAAAAAAAAAAAAAAAAAAAAAAAAAAAAATGCTATTGAACAGCATAGAACAGAACCAACTTGTTTAATTGAAACAGCTGTTAAGATTCATTAATTCCATTTAAATATGAGTACTCATAAGGTTAACATGGGAAACTCCAGAGCCACTGGGGCGGAGCCCTAGGATCAGAATAAAAACAGCTTAGTTTTCCTATTTGATGCCTCTTTAGGCATCAAATAGGAAAACTAAGCTGTTTTATTTGATGTGTATGTTTTATTGGTGTATTGATGTTTTAAAGCTGATTCTTTAATCAGTGTACCAAATTTCAGCCTCCTAGGTAAATGGGAAGTAAGAGAATTAGTGATGAGTGAGCGAGTGAGTCAGTCAGTCAGTGAGTCAGTGAGGGCTTTGCCTTTTATATATATAGATTAATAGTCTAAGCTTTTACCCTTGGATATAAGTATTAAGTATACATCTCATCCCCATGTTAAATGTTAATGTTTTAGCCAGTCAAAAAACAAAAATGGACATAGTTGAACAGAGTTACCAACAGAGTGCACTCATGTCGATTACTGAATTTCTATCACATGTGACAACTTTTTAACCAACCCATACTGAAAGGGCAATCGATTGTAAACAAACTCACAACTTATGTTTTATGTCATATAACCTTTGGTAGTAGGCCTATCCATAACTAAGGGAAAATGGCATTTTGTCAGTAGCTCACTTTGTAAGTGACTTATTCAATTATGTTCTACAGTAGAACCTCGATAAACAAGTCTCTTATGGGGATCATCACATAAGACTTTTATACAGTAGAACCTCCCTAATCCGACCTCTGATGGTCCAACTCCTCGCTTGGTCCGACCATGCCACCAACACAATAGGTTTCCGCTAACATAACCTCATTGCCCAAGAAAAATAGCCAGAAAACTTTATAAATTGTGTTTTTTTTTGTCTAATGTGTTGAAATTTGTCGTATATTTGACCATGCCTGCCCATTATTAATATAGGCTCCCACATTATTGTTTTTGGAAAATCACAGTTCATTTGGCAGAAATAAAATGGAAGCAAAACACAGGAATGCCGATCAAAGCTTCAAGGTCAAGCTATCCGTTTGCACTGACAATCGTCTGCACCTTAGGCCTACACACGACACATCTGTCTGCTGTGCGCTTGCTATGTCACATTTTGTGATTGTGTATTTGGTAATCATGACAACTTTAGTAGCCTGCGATTGGGTGTTTAGTAACCATGGCAACTTCTTGAATGGGTGGATGAAGAGAAACTTAAGAAAGAATAGAAGCACAAAGAGAAAGAATAAGCAATGTTTTTATGTCATTGTTATCTTTATCGGTGTATTTTACGACTGTTGTTATGCTATAAGTAGGCTACTATTATTTTATACTTTTTTATGCGTTATCAAATGATTTTATCGCTGTCTTGAAACAGCTTAGCAGTAGCCTATGACTAGCAGTACCGGTAGCTTACTAGGCTTTCTAATGTTCTGTTCTTTATTTTGCTGTACAATGTTTTCTCAATTTTATTGTTTGAGTAAAAGTTTGAAAAAGCTGTGATTTTAACGTTACAGTTTTTATTACTGAACCAAGGGTAATGACATAACATAACTATTATGATTGCGCAATAGCCTACTAATTGTATTTTTATGATGTAATATGCAAATTATTACATTAACGTCCATTTAGTTTATGAGTTGGAAATAACTGTTTTATGTCATATTGGATTAGCCGTGGTTATCAGTTATCGGTGGTCTGTTTGAAATACAGTTTTACTACGTTTTTATGTCAATAAATGCGTTTCTCTGATAATCCGACCTTTTTGCTGTTCCGGCCATGCTCCCGGTCCCGGTGACGGATTATCGAGGTTCTACTGTATTAAGGTTTATCAAAGTTGACTCCTTATTGAAGTTTTGCAATAACATGTGATAAAGCGTATTGAAATCAAATCGAGGGTATTTGAAAATGACACTTGTTATCTAGAGTAACTTGTTGGGTCTTGTTATTGAAGTTCCACTGAATTTGAATACAATATTGGCCATAGCTGGTCCTCATTTATGGGATGTCTACTTCAAAAGTTAATGCTTACACTGACAATGCCTTATGAACTATGTTTATGGTAGTGTTATTAATTTGGAAATGCTTTGTACTAGGGATGGACGGGATTGAATTTTTAGTTCGGGACGGGACGGGACGGGATTTTTATTTCCTTCCCGATTTTCGGGACGGGACGGGACGGGATTTTTTTCTGTGCATAAAAAGAAAGTACTGTATTGCAGTTACCAAAAAAGACATACGAAATCAATTTTTACCATTGTGGCACTGATCTATAAAAACCAAAAAATGGGTAACAATTTACAGGTACCTATAGAAACTTGTGACTCGCGGGTCACGAGGTGATTGTCTGTATGACTCCACGGTCACAGCGCGATCGTCGTCATGACTCGCGGTCACGGCACGATCGTCGGTATGACTTGCGGTCACGGGGTTATCGTCGGTATGACTCCACGGTCACGGCGCGATCATCGTCATGACTCGCGGTCACGACGCGATCGTCGGTATGACTCGCGGTCACGGCGCGATCGTCGTCATGACTCGCGGTCACAACGCGATCGTCGGTATGACTCGCGGTCACGGCGCGATCGTCGTCATGACTCACGGTCACAACGCGATCGTCGGTATGACTCGCGGTCACGGCGCGATCGTCGGTAGGACTCCGCGGTCACGGCGCGATCGTCGGTAGGACTCCGTGGTCACGGCGCGATCGTCGGTATGACTCGCGGTCACGGCGCGGTCGTCGGTAGAACTCCGCGGTCACGGCGTAATCGTCGAAATGACTTCGTCTCCTGCGGTCACAGCGCGATCGTCGTCATGACTCGCGGTCACGGCACGATCGTCGGTATGACTTGCGGTCACGGCGCGATCGTCGGTATGACTCCGCGGTCACGGGGTTATCGTCGGTATGACTCCACGGTCACGGCGCGATCATCGTCATGACTCGCGGTCACGGCGCGATCATCGTCATGACTCGCGGTCACGGCGCGATCATCGTCATGACTCGCGGTCACGACGCGATCGTCGGTAGGACTCCGCGGTCACGGCGCGATCGTCGGTAGGACTCCGTGGTCACGGCGCGATCGTCGGTATGACTCGCGGTCACGGCGCGGTCGTCGGTAGAACTCCGCGGTCACGGCGTAATCGTCGAAATGACTTCGTCTCCTGCGGTCACAGCGCGATCGTCGTCATGACTCGCGGTCACGGCACGATCGTCGGTATGACTTGCGGTCACGGCGCGATCGTCGGTATGACTCCGCGGTCACGGGGTTATCGTCGGTATGACTCCACGGTCACGGCGCGATCATCGTCATGACTCGCGGTCACGGCGCGATCATCGTCATGACTCGCGGTCACGGCGCGATCATCGTCATGACTCGCGGTCACGACGCGATCGTCGGTATGACTCGCGGTCATGGCGCGATCGTCGTCATGACTCGCGGTCACAACGCGATCGTCGGTATGACTCGCAGTCACGGCGCGATCGTCGTCATGACTCGCGGTCACAACGCGATCGTCGGTATGACTCGCGGTCACGGCGCGATCGTCGGTAGGACTCCGCGGTCACGGCACGATCGTCGGTAGGACTCCGTGGTCACGGCGCGATCGTCGGTATGACTCGCGGTCACGGCGCGATCGTCTGTAGGACTTCGCGGTCACGGCGCGATCGTCGGTATGACTCGCGGTCACGGCGCGGTCGTCGGTAGAACTCCGCGGTCACGGCGTAATCGTCGAAATGACTTCGTCTCCTGCGTTCGCGGACCTATCGCTCGCAATAACGGCGTTATCGGCACTCGCGATGCGGAAAAATCGCCGACGATCGGACCAAATCCCGTCCCGAAAAATTCCCGAGTCAAATGTAATCCCGTCCCGATAATCGGGAATATTTTTTTCCCGAAAAATTCCCGAAATTTCGGGACCCGTCCATCCCTACTTTGTACAGAACATAGACAGCCATGACAATTAGACCCTAATTGAGATAGATGTGATTCAACTTATTGTTCACCTAGATTTTTAGTCAATAACAACGAAATAAGATATTTTGAACAAAATAAAAATACAACAAATACAACATAAAATATTTTGTTAAAATCATTTAGTTATGACTAATGAAATTCGGTTATTCAATATAACCTATTAGTAATTTTTTTTTAGCACTAACTTGATACACATTACTTTGTATACGTCGTGTTCAACAAGTCACTGGCAAAAGTTTTAATTTACTCCACCAGGAGTTGAAGTTTATGCTAAAGTCAGATTAGATTAAAATCACTGCTATTGACAAGATGGCTATTCATGTTTTAAATATAATTTTCATTATGACCTACTTGCTAATATGGCATATTAAAACTTATTTTAAATTAAAAAAAAGGTATGGCTTCTAAATAAAAATTAAGATAAAATATAAAATGATACTTGGTTACTTAAGGTTTATTGGTACTTTGGTAAGGTACTTTGGTACTTAAGGATTTTATTGAATCCCACCACAACTATAAGGGTGTATATTAACCCTATTATGAGTGTCAGATGAAAGCAGAGAATGGCTGTGATGGCTTGTGTAGCTGTTTTATTGAGTAAGTCTGTCCAATCTCATATTCAGAGCCATCAATTAATCCCAATAACAAACAACAAAAAGTATAAAGCTTCAGTTTTTTTCTTGGTTTTTTTTTCTTGGAGAGAAAACATTGAGCTCTAAAATGTTTCGGTGTTTTTTTTTTACAACACAAATTTTACTTACAAGCTCATTCAGTCAGTAGATTGTTAGCAATTTTGACTTATCTATTTTTGTATAGGAGTTGAGAGAGTGTTTTGAGAAGCAAGACATTCCATTGCTTCAAGCTACCATTGCTAAGATGGATGAGAAGGACGCGATATACCATATGAAACGTGCTGTTGACTCCGGTCTTTGGGTTCCGGAAAAGAAATTACCGGAAGCGGAGGAAGAAGGAGGTTCTCAGGAAACAGAGGAGGCATAACTTTTATAGACTTAATTTTTTTCCTTTTTAACGTGTATATTTTGTATTACTTTAGTGCAACTCAAAATAACTGCCAGTGTAATTATTTTTACTATTTGAAATTTTTTTGACTATTATTTACTGTACAAAATAATTATTGCCTTATTGTAATCATTGATTTTTGTTTACTGTTGTTACAAATTAGTTTATGTATTGAAATGTAAATGCATGTTTCATTATACTTTGACATTTGTTATACTTTATTGTTGAAGACTTCTAATCTTTATACTAATACAAAAAGGGTTCTCTTTATAACATCCCATTATCAGCCGGTCCGAAACTTGGAAGCTTTTAATTCAGCTGGGGGATAATGAAAATGGATTTTAAATTGGCTACTTGATAATTTGTAACCTATTTGAGATAGGTAAATTACTCTTTATGAGGTGAATCTAAAATTATATATACTGTAAATTGAGAGTGTCATTCACCAAATAACAGTTTTAACACATTCGTGGTGGCAGAGGTTTCCGCGTATCTCACGGCTATGCTGAAACTGAAACATCACATCTTCCCCTACTAATGTCAGTTTCATCGTCAAAGGCCAATCACTTTCCCCGTCACTAAAAATACAAAGTCCCGATCATTTGGGTCCCATATTTTGGAAGAAAAAATAACACCAAAACAGTGATCAAAACAGTTGTGCAAGTGCTCAACCTTGACACTGACTAGTGACTTAGTTACTGAGAGCACTACGGCTACTGTCGAAGCAGCACTGTCCAGTGCAAACCCACGTTGTCACAAAATACAGTGTACTATTGAGCAGTGCTGTGGGAATTTTCAGATTTCTAGCTCTAATCCTGGCTAAATTAATCATTGTGTGTCACATTGCAGCATGGTAGCGAGGTACCCACCAAGATGCCATTAGGGTTCTGTGTGGGAGCGATTGCTCCCATGCCGCCACGAACGTGTTAAACAAACAAAATCTTATTTAAGGGCTTTGTCAAATCTTGTTTAAGGGGAATATATACACTAGTGAATGTTTCTTTATCAATGTATTACTATTTATTACAGCAATAAATATTTGTAATAATTATATATTTTGTTTATCTTACCCACTCCCAAGTTAATTGAATGTAGAAGCTTAGTGATGGTATGAAATTATTTAGTCTGAGGAAATTTTAATTATTTTTGAGGTATATAACTTATTATATTAATAGGTTGGCCTACTGAAAAAATATAGTGTCTTTAAAACCATATATCGGTAAATTATAAATATTTTAGTAAAATTATTTCTGACCTGTTTTGAGCCATTCCCTTGGCTTCTTTGAACATTCTAAGTAGCCTACATTTTGTTGGATGTCATAAGCATAGAATTAGAATGTGAATTTTTTAAAAGAGAACAAGATTAATTATCATGCAAGTGGTGTATTGATGCTGCGGATCGGGAAACCTTGTTAATATAAGTGAATATCCAACCGGAGAAGTCAATAAGTGACTCAATGATCCCAGAATATAGAATAGCTGTTCTCAATGGCTAGTGTTTTACCAAAAACTGTTTGTACATGGTACTGTACATTTGTTTGAAAATAAACACCATGTCAAAGCTGTGACCAGTTAAAAAAAATGCTTAAAAAAATGCAAATGAAAAAAGTTTTTTGGTCCTAGGTCTCGTTCTTTCTGTGTCCCCTACGGCAACAGCTTCTTGCCTATAGGGAAATTCGCTAAAACAGAAATCACTCTGTCTTGTGATTTTTCTGTAATTGTAGGATTTTTTTTGCTCACTTGCAAAGTTTAATGGTCCTTTTAATGCACAGTTTCCAATACCATCCTTAAACCATATTGAAAGTTGGAATCATTTTGAGTTATTTTATTTTGTTAATGCAACAAACATGTTTTGTTCTGAAAATTTTTACTATGTAGCAAATATGAAATGAAATGAAATATGAAAATGTGAATTTTTATTTTTGAGTTTGTTGAGGTTTTTCCAAAGCAGTCTTATTAACACATGATACATCGGTCCACTGTTATGCTTAAGAGTAATTTCACACTGATACATCGTCACAAATAAATGTGATATTTTAAAAGTAAGTAAAAAAATATTGGTGGTCAAAAAGACAGCTTGGCTAAAAGCTGGCAATGATTGAAGTTATAACTTCAAATAACTGTTTTAAGGACAAGCAATTTTGGCAGGGTCCCTTGAGGAATAGTATGAATTAATCATGTTATCAGTGGTGTTAATCTCGTGTATCTTTATTCATAGACTATTTGGTGACATAAAGGCTTCTGACTACAGAAGTTAGTTTGCAAAAGGCAATTAAAGCTGTAATTACCTAACCTTTGTAGAGATGATTTTGATTCTGGCCGCATCAAGGAACCTGTTGCACATGTGTATGGGTGTGTAAACATGTATTTTTGAAAAGTATAAAGGTATTAAAGTATTTAAATATGTTTTGTATCAATTGTTTTGTTTAAAGAACCTTTTTTTCAATATTTTTATCATCAAAAAGCATATTTTATAGATCTTGAATGTATCAATCCTGGAGGATAAAGACTTGAAATTGTAGACTTTAATAAAAGATGAAATGCAATAATACAAAGCAAGAAAACCTGTTTAACTAATATTTGTGTAAATACAAAAAAAAAAACGATACAAAAATATAAGAAACATTTTAGAGTAATAACATTTATTTATGTTCTATTCATAAATACAAATTGAATTGTTCATATTACTATTGAAATATTAAAACAAAAGAGAGAAACCACAAGCGAAAATAGATACGATATCTTGTCCATTCTGCTTGTAATCTACCAAGCAAAACAATGAAACAAATCAATAATCTGTAACAATATTGCTGCTGAAGTTGTCCATAAGTCCAAACTACTACAATGTATGTGGTTAAGCTCTGTATTAGAGAGTTCGACTTTACATAACCAACAAACCCTAACTTCAACTGCGACTTTGCCTTGAATAACATGTATTTAGTTCTTGTATTATATTTTATGTTTATGTATTACTACTAAGTGTACCGTTGCTCAAAATCAAGCAATTATTAAGTACCTACTGGTATTATAAGAGTAATTTTAAAACTGAAAACAGTCATCATTTTTTACTCTTACTCAACTAAAAACTTATGTAACTAATGAAAAAACTCTTGCTGTTCATAACAGTTTAATATATAATAAAAATTTCTTGTAAATGTTTTTTTAGTGTTTTATAAAAGTTTTTCCCCATTTACCCATACCCGTACCAAGTTTTCCTTGTTATCTTATTCATTGATACTGTAGCCTGCATGCACCATTGTCACCAGTATGTTTACAAAATTTAGTTATTTTTTTAAATAGCGGTAAAAATGGTTAAAATTACTCAAGTTATACCCGATTTCCTGCATAATCTGTTTGTCAAAACTTTAATCTTCTTCAAATGGCATTCTTTACATGGCATCTTGTAATATTTATTTCTTCCATTTTGTAATTTTAATTGCACTTCTAGTTTAATGACCATATCCACATTTTCCCTCCTCCTCCCTCTCCAATAGTAAAAATAACAATTTCTTTTCTTTTAAACTCCAGGTAACTATTAGAAAAATGTTAATTTTACTGTCAGGAGAGGTCCCGGGCTGGGGACCGGTGTAGCGGAGTTAAAAATGTGTTGGCCCTGAAAAGGGCCGTTTGGCCAAGAGCTCGTACGTCACTTGGCGGAAGGGGGTCCACAACCCATAGCCCAAATCTACTCAATAAAAGTGGTATGATAATACCGTTTAGCGTAAGACGCTGACAATTTAAATCGAACAAACTTGAGGGTATAGGTTGAGCCCGGTTCGGTCAACTCTCGAAGTCTTGGCTGCTGTGTTTCTTGAGCCTCCTCCGCGTCCTCCACCGAGGGGTCAAGAACGTCACAACAGTCAAGCGCTTCCAGAGCAACCTCATCGGGTAAAGGCAACCCTTCCCTTACGTTTACAGCGAACGGGTTCCTCAACATACTGCCACAAAGTAAGTTACGTGTTTACAGTGCGAAAGTTTTTGAGAAACAGAATTTTTGGTTTCCATGGTTAAATATTTATTTTTCTCTGTTGAAATAGTGTTGCTAAGACACATTAAATTTACAAATTAGGTTAAAATTAAATAAATCCACGGGCATCTCAGGACCTAGTCTCATTCGAGCAATTAAAATATGACAAGTGTTTTCTGTTTTAAATAATGAAATTTAATTGTAAAAATTTCTAGGACTCAAGATAGATTTTTAAATTAATTGTGTTTGAATGACTAAGCATTATTGTTCAGCCCTAACTTACTTGTCTTGGGCTGCTAGTTATTTTGGGATGTTAAAGCTGTTTGAAAATAGGTTCGTTCTTTAAATTGAATGGAGTATTCTGCAAAAATCTTTTTTACTAAAAAATAAATGAATCCAATATTTTTGTGTAGGTCATAGTCATAACAATATTTTGCTTAAGTTAACTAAAAATGAACTGTTTGTCACACTACTATGCTGGATCAAGTAGTCAGTTTTTCTTTCTCTACATACTTTTAATGTTTCATTGTAGTTTTATGTGGAGGGGGGTCTGATACAAACAAACTAGATAGATTTCCTACACAGGAGCAGGCCACATACAGTTGGCCTCATAGGTCAGCTCAGATACTCTCAATGATTGCCTTTGTGATTTATTTATTGGTATTGCAATCGTGAGTCAAACTAGAAGCTGTAAGCTTGTCAACTGGAAGGGCATAACTGTGGGGATTATCAAAACTCATGCAAGAGAGCATCTTCTCCCTTGAAACTTCCATTTCGGATTGAAGTTTCAATTACAGTTTTCCTTAGAAACTTCACTGTAACACTTTTGTTCTGACACTTAATCGTGGTTGGTGATATTTCTTAGAAGAATGATTGGCATACCGATTTTCACGTGTGGTCTCGTTTCCTGTGAGTTTTATTTGTGTAGGTGTGTATTTATTAAACGCACCTTAAACACAGATCTCTCACCCATTCATTCTAAAAAAACTGGCTGGGTAGCTGAGTAGAAAAGTTTTTCAACATTCCTTGCATTGTGGTTAGTACTTTAGTGTTTTTTTCATTCGCTGTATTATTTATATTTCTATATAATATATAACTGGTTAATACTAAAAGGTTTAAGCAAATACAATTTACTTAATAATATACACGTATAATTATTGGGCTTTTTGATGACTTAGCTGTTCAAAATTACGTTTAACTGCGGAGTTTTCAGAGTTTGTAATGAAATTGATTTACTAGACACAAGTTTCCAGCATCATCAACGTTTTATAGCCTTAGGCTGTACGTTTCAGAATATTAAATTTCAACAATTAACTATGAGGTAAGTAAAATTTACTTCATAAAAGACAAACATTGGCAAAACATTGCTCTGAGCAACAACATTGATGGTTTATTGGGTTTCCTTTATCATGATTGAGTTATGTAAGCACCAGAGACTGAGGGGACCTATCTATGTAACTAATATCTATTAATATAATGAACAGTTGAAGAATTTTTGTTATTTCTTCCTCGGGGTAAAATTCAAACACACATCTGAACACATCTTAAATTGGTGTAAAAAACAGGATAATTTATTAGTATAAAACAATATGAAACACCCCCAACGCAGCAAACCTGCAGGCTAAGCGAATTTCCATTTGGATTTGTACTAAAATTATTCCCAAAATATGTCAGATTTTATCCCTTAAATTACACTTTGTTCAACAAGCACATTGGCTTCCTACTACAGATGGAAGACTTTTTTTTATGTTTTTAGAATAGTATAAAATAAATTTGACAAATTTCAACAATAATTTCCTTAAACAACAAACTAAAACGGTTTACTTTTACACCTCAACAATTAAAATAACATGAGAAATTAAAGTTGTTTTAGACATTTATCCATTACCTTTAATTACATAATAATGCTTTAATATACTAGTTATTTGGTTTTAAAGCTCTAATCGATGGCAGTAATAAAAGTTGGATATTTTCATATTTTAAGTGTAAATTAGTACAAAGTGTGCTTGGGAACCAGCATAATGGGGAATGGGAACCTGGTGATATTAAGTTTTGGAAATTGCTTTATTTTATATAGT